TGAATAGTAGAGTGTTTTTGGATTGTACAATTATGTTTCTTTCCTCTTCTGTAATTTCTGCGTAGGATTCGGCGAAGTCGAGGGCTTTAGAAAGTAGGTTATGGGAAATCGATGGATAGAATTCGGTGACGTCGAAGCATATAAATGAGTGGTTCTGCTTATCGGTGATGTTGTTAAACCATTCTAGGACCTGACTTGTATTTCTCCATTGGTTAAGTTTAGTCTTCTGGTTTATTTTTTTGTTTATTTTTTATATATATTATATATATATTATATATATTATATAAATATATATATTATGTGTGTGTGTATGTACTGGTATATTTTATAATACGAAACATGGAAAAATAAAGTAAAATGGATGTAGAAGAAGAACCAAATATATAAAGAGGTGAGACACATCATACATTAAGACTGACGTCTGAGACAGCCAGGTATATAAGAAACTTACTGATCAACAGACAATGATAAAAGGGGCATTTCAACAACAGGATCTCGGGACATCAAAAGGTTATAACTCTGGCATCGACATTCTACGTGTCGCTTGCCCCTACATGCTTAACGTCCAATGATCGCCACAAAAACCATTAAATCAACATATATTAAAACCTCAAATTGAAGCCCTGGGTTTCCCCTTTTTTATCTTTATTTTTTTATATATTTATTTACTTATTTTTTTTGCGAACTTAGGATAGGCTTCTTTTTGAGAATGGCTTCTTTTCGAAATTGGCTTCTTTTCGAGGCTATTTTTACAAAGTTGAAAGGGAGGTGCTTCTTTTCAACATGAATGCTGTCAATTTTGGGAATTATTACTACAAAACAATAAATAGGGCCACTGTAACATCAGTCTGCGTCATGGAGTGTATTAATCCGCAACTAATTACCTAAACTGGTGTATACACCAAACATGTTTTACTTTTTTTCATTTTCTTAAAATGTACAGTGTATGTACTGTATTATCTCGAAAAAAAAATTAGCTTCTTTTCGAGATGGGTTTTTATCGAGGATATTTTTGCAAACTAAATAGAGGGCAGCAATTCTAGATGGGCTTCTTCTCGAGATTAAGCTCGTTGGGCTTCAATTTGAGGTTTACGGTATTAAATTTTTGAGTAGAATTCATTCAAAATATGCATTAATAATAAATAATTAATATTAAATCATTGCTTAGTGGAGTGGCGAAGAGGGATGCACTTTAAAGCAGCTTAGCTCAGTCGGCTAAATTAATGGTATTCGATGTGTGCACGCTGAACAGTAGAGATTCTTTTAGATCTTTGGTCACTGGCTCAATTCCTTCCGCTGCTTTTCTTGTGTTTCAGCTGGATCGACTGAAATATAAACTACGACAGAGCACCGTATTTTGAATGAGACATGTAAGCCGCGTGACATTATGGTACATCTGCACGGTCGGAAATGGCACTCTTAGACTAGGTTTTAGTGGAATTTTCTTTTCTTTCTTTTTTTTTCTCAAGTTTTTTTTTTGAAGAATTTAGAGGTAGGGCCCGACCACCGCCACTGTTTTATTATATTAATTTAGTATTTGTTTGACAATCGAATCTCTGGCATGTCTATTCGTATTCTCTAACTTGTATGTATATTGACGATGTCCAGCGTCCAAGCCTTTGACAATTATTAATTAATAACTTAAAAAAGTAAAGAATTTATTATATGATAAATTGTAAACATAGATTCGTAGTAGAGATCATGAAAATATTCATGAAAGAAAGAATTAGAAGCGATTAATTACGAGCTTTCATCGATAAACGGCAGCTTTATTTACAATTCTCGTGGGAAAAACACATGAATGATACTGGATGAATGTATACATTTAATAATGTGTCTTTCTTTATTTTCCCCGGTCTCCCGGCGCCACTGTGCACTACTGGAAACATGTCTTCGGACCAAAATACTAGGCCTAGGTCTATGCCCTATCTTGATGGACTGAGCCGTCGAATCCGACAGATCTCCTTTCTCTCTGAATTTTTTTAGTATTTAATTAATTATATAAATAATATTGTAATTTGTATTATTATTATTGTTGTTATCATTATTATTATTATCATTATTATCACTATTATTATTATTATTATTATTATTATTATTATTATTATTATTATTATTATTATTATTATTATTATAATTATTATTCGTATCTTAATGCTCTATTCCATATGCCTATAACTTTACAGTGTGATAAATCTTTCTACCTTAACTTTACCAAGAATTGACTAGATAATTTACATTGCTCAGAAACTAATCGGTAAAGACATAGGAGATAACAAACACAGAACATAACATTCACATTATAATTAATTTTTGAATGCCTCGGGTCAAATTCAACACTTAATTCATATCGTACCAGACAGTCTGTTATTCTAAACTCTACCTATTCACTTGTATTTCAAAAGAAAATGCATAGCATACAATATATATTCATATCACTAATTAATTGCTGATTTTGTTTAAATAACTTTAATGATATCTGGCTACACGTGTACAGGTAAATAAACAATAATTGTTACATTACTTGGAATTGTGTCAGGTTTCTTAGTACAAACACAGTTAATATTAGTACATTGAGAACCATATACAAAGATTGGTAGGCCTACATGAACAGTTTTTTAAAATATATGTTTTAACTTCAGTTGTCCATTCAATAAGGCGAGAAAATGGTGAAGAGAGCAATGTCTGTATCCTGAAATGCCCACCGTGTTCATCTTCAAATTGTCTTTATACAATTCGCGATATTACGTGTACCAATATTGCAATGCCACAACATTATATAATATATATATATATATATATATTATATATATATATATATATATATATATATATAAACAAACAAATAGATAAATAACAATAACAGTGCTCGAATAAGTACATGTTGCAATAATCGTATCAAGCATAGCTCAAAAACGAAAGGTTCCTTTATTTCAGTTCTATGAAGAAAAAAGTGTCTGGCGGGATTCGAACCTGCATCCGCTGGATTTCAAGGCGAGTATCATACCCACCAGACTACGGAAACCTACTGTATATATAAATTATGATATAATAGAGAACGTGTAAGCGATGTTTAAGGTATAACCACAAGTATTTACCAAGGAACATGGTGTGGTAGGCTTAATTATTATTATAGTTCTCTGAGGGAAAAATGGAACACGCCCATGTTAAGAATTTTAACCAATAGCCATATTCTCTTCCGTAGAAATTATGACTGACAGCAAAAATACCATAATGGAGAGCACGTTATTAGGACAAAAATGTGTTTCTATTTTCACCACTGTATCCAGGCAATAAGTTATTACATTTGCAATCATACGTGGGTCTATAAATACATAATGGAACAATAAGCTCTTTAGATTCTAATAATGTAAAACGAATTTACTATTTACTAATTTATAAGGTGTGTTTTGATAGACGGGTTGCATCTTGGAACATTTTGTATACAACTTTACTAACGCCAGTCAGTTACTTTCGATCCATAATAATTCTTTACGACGATAAAGAGAAAGTATTTTACTAGAAAGAACTTGTATTCAACTCTTTTGTTATTATACTTGCAATAATATCATCATAAGTATCAGTAGTGGTATTGTCAGTACTATCATTATCATTATCATCATCATCATTGTTACTATTATTATTATTATTATTATCATCGTCATCATCATTATTAATAATATTAATATTATTTTTGTTTTTAATATTATTATTATTCTTAATCTTATCATTATTATTATTTCAATTTTTATACTATATACTATCATGCTTACTCTACATTGCTATTGTTTCAGAATCTTAAAGGCACATGCATAATTATCAAATAAGTTTACCATTATGTGTGCATTATGACAGGTATGAATAATGGAATAGTAGACACATATTGGGTAAATATATTTTCTTTTTGTCATCACTGTATCCTGGCATAATGTGTTGATATGCTAAATAAATAATTTAAGCACCGGTTATACAATGCACTCCTAAGTTTAATAATGTAGACAGTTAGAAGATATCTATTGGTAGTCCAGATAAATGCATAATTTACATGATTTTCACCTACGCAAGTCGGTGTTTTCTTGTAATATTCATAGCAAGACTCTGTGTAGATGAAGACAGACGATACTCTGGTATTTTTGCTTTTAAGGAGCTTAGTATTTAAGAACTTAAGGTAAAACCTGCTGTTATGATTATTATTAAAGTTATGATCGTCATTATTTTTAGTATAGACTATTCTTAATGTATTATTATTATTATTATTATTATTAATTTTATTATTATTATTATTTTCAAAATTATATGTTGGCTACGTTAGAAATACTAGGCATATATATGTATAGACCAATATAGACCTATCAGTACACACTTTGTTACATTTGAAAGGGGTACACAATTCATTAGACCTATAATGATCTGTAAGACTAATTTATTTATCGGTTTTAAGAGGTGGGAGCGATGTCAAATTCCCAACGGTAGCATAAGAGGGTGGGCCAGGATAACCCAAAACCTCTCACATTGGTTCTTCAGAGGAGGGGTAGTTCCCAGAAAATTCGGCATTAGAGTTTTGAATGGCTTATATCAGTAAGACTGACGCGCAATTAATTGGATCAAACATTTTTTTTTTCTTTTTTGACTGTAAAATATTGATGCAATTTTCTCCATTCTTTGTGCACTCCAATGCATTTTCACTATTTTCACATTTTAACTATATATTGTATATATAT